CTAAAAAGATACATGCCGATCTCATGAAAAATCAAGCAGGAACTAGCCAGGAAAGCGAGGTGTTTAAAGCCAGCCATTTTTTTTACATGAGAACGGATTAATCATTTTTACATTACTTCTTATGGAAAAGCTTGGTTCGGTATACGTCCTATTCGGTATAAGTCCAAACATCGGAAACGGATTAAGGTCGTATACCGAGGTTCCACTGTATATATATTCATATAAGTCTGACTCTTAAGACAAAAATATCAATAATAATTACACTTACACATGTAAAGATATTAAACAGGATGTTTAGAAATTTTTTTATTTTAATAATTATTATTAAATAATAGTTTAACAACATTATATACTATATATTAATAATATAATTATAGAAAATAATATATCATGAAAATGTTTTAAACTAAATTATTGCTGAATTTTTAAAATGCACAGATTTACTGAATGTAATATAAGATAATATTTTATGTTTTTTTAGTGATGAAATAGATTCAATAAAAAATAATTCAGTAACATGTGATGAGAGTAATATATATTTGTCAATAATTGATAGTCTTGTTAAGAACAGAAAACCTAATATATTAACTAAGAAAACTAGCCATATAAAATTAATAGTAAAAGAATAAACATTAAATAGGAAAAGCAAAGAGGAAGACATGCATTTTTTAAAGTTCTGAAACAGAATAGTTTTACAAATGGTTTGTTGTTGCCTTACCTGGTTAATTGATGGTTTCAGTATTGGAAGTCCATTTCATATTCCGTAGTTTAACAATACATATATTAATTATATCATTAATAAACCATAAAAGTTTATTTTTGTTAAATGTTGTTAAATAAAATGTTGCTGAATTATGAAAATACATGGATTTACTGCATGTAATATAATAAGACTGTAACATAAGTTATTTTATCTTTTTAGAGATGAAATATTACTCCAATCTCTCTACTCCAATAGTAAAGTCCAATATCAATAAAAATAGATTAAGTAAACAGAATGGCTTCCATGATAAATTACACTGTAAAGCTACTGTAAATGATTATATACAGTATAATATCTAAAACTTTCAAAAAATCTGTTACTTAGTTACACAGTTCTTTGAAAATAGTAATGTGAATTATTGAAAAAATTTTTTTAAAAAATAATACTTGTTGTGTATCAATTTGATGATAATATCAAGCTCTAAATCATTGAGTATTATGTAAAAAAATTATTTAAAATTTTTTTAAGCTTGAATATCTAAATTTTTTCAAAATGTTTAGGAAAAATTTTTAATGTTTGAATATTCTACAACATTTAATTATATAAAAATTAAAAAAAAAAAAAGACGGTAGAAGTATTCCCAATGTATCTAAAGTAATGCAGATTTCAGGGTACCTTGGATAATCATAACTTGAATAGGAATGTTTAATTATTAAATGAACTGAATTGGGATGCATTAATATTTAGTTACACTTTATTTTTAGGTTAAACTTATTGAGCATAGACTTTTAATATTATTTACAACTGTATTTATTAAGACATATGTGAACCTATGATTACATGTTCACATATGTCTGAACAAATGAGATGAACACTTATCAACTGAATAAAATTCAATGATGAGATTTGCCAAGAGTCTGAATAAATATTGGGTTGTTCGGAAAGTAAGTTTGTTTTTTTTACTACTAGACGGATTAGTTGTATTTTTCCCGCCATTTTCATTCTAAACTGTATTATCATTATATATTTTGACAGTTAGCATTTTAAGGCTTATTTGTAAAAAATTTTGTTTGATTTTGTGCCATTGTTTATTTTTTGTGTCCCATCAAATATGGAAGATCGAAAGCAGCATTTTCGGCATATTTTGCTCTTTTATTACCGAAAAGGTAAGAATGCTGTTCAAGCAAGAAAAAAATTGTGTGACATGTATGGGGAAGATATATTGACAGAACAACAGTGCCAAAATTGGTTTACAAAATTTTGTTCTGGCAATTTCAATATTGAAGATGCACCATGTTCTGGATGGCCAGTTGAAGCCAATGAAAACAAAATAAAGGTACTGATTGAAGCAAACTGCCGAATAACAACACATGAAATCACTAAGAGATTAAATTTATAAATTGAACTGTTTATGATTACTTGAAACAAATTGGTTTTGTTTTAAAGTTCGATATATGGGTTTTTTTTCCATGGAAAAAAATGAACTTACTTTCCGAACAACCCAATACAATAAATAATTTGTGTTTGAATTACCTATGATTACAATTAAAATTTCATTAGTTATTTTTTAAATTCTTAGTGTTGTTATAAGTTACAGTAGCAAATTTTTTTAAACTTCTCTATCCTGTTCATAGCCCAGCATATCATTGGGCCAAGATTTGCAAAACAAACAGTACTATATTTGTGAATAAAGTACATCATATTCTTTTATCTTTTGTCATTAGAAGTATTCTTCTACTATTCACCTCAGATAATGTGAAATCTTGGTTAAATGGTCTCAGTTAATCAAGACACTATTGTATAAAAAAATATTGTTTGCTTTTTAAAATTTATTTCAATTCAAGACATTCAAAATTTGTAGAAATAATTGTTACATAAAATACCTTATATGTCTTCAGCATAAATGATAAAATAAGAGTTGACTTGGTTGGCTTCATTTAATTATAGCAAATTTGTTTTAATCTGTCAGTTTTGAATTTTATTTTTGTAGTATCACTAGCCAGAATCCATTAAATATTTGACTTGATTAGAATACAATTTGCCAATTAATTCATTATCATGATGATTACTATTTTGAATTGCATTCATACTGAATAAAATATCTAAATATTTTTATAAATGCTTTTCATCTCTTCTTTCTTAACTTTACAAAAATCATTTATGAAAGGAATAAAGATTTATGAAATTATTTTTTCAAAATTGAGAAATAAAATTTATTTAAAATTCAGACTTTTTAAATTTTAAATCAGTTTATAATTTTTACATATTACTTTTTTGAATATCTCACTAAATACAATATTCTTAATAGAGAACTTATTCCATTCATTTCTGTAAATATTCTAATATTTTTAAAAGATTTCACTCTGGACAGAACTACCCATGAAGTATGTTCATATATTATTGTACTGTGCATGTGCAATGATAGCCTGTTTGATTCATTCCTTTCTCTTATATAAGTGTGATTATTTGTTTATTTTTTTAGTTGGTCTTTGAGTCTTTGAAACACTTTTTTAGGATTTTTAAAGTAATGACTCTTCTTAATTTTTGATTAATTTAACATGATATAGAAGAAAGAAAAACTTAATATTTCTAATAATTTTAAAGTTTTTCATTTTTAAATTAAAGAAATAAATTTACATTTACATAATATAATAGATGATGATAAACAGTTCTTTGCATAAAACAATTTTTTCTTTCAAATAACACACAAATATGAACAGTTATTAACACACAAACATGAACAGTTATTAAATATCCCGTTGTCCTTGTAAGAGTTAACATGCAGAAAATATTAGTATATGATTTATCATAATTTCTATGTGAAATTCATATCAATATTTATTCATCATCAGAAATAAACTTTGAATATGATTTTAACATAAAATGATTTATTAATTTTCAGAATAAATAAATATTTATTATAAAAATTAAATTATATATATTACAGTAATAAGATATTAATAACAAAATCCTGATTTTTATAAATTGAATGTTTTATGAATTACTAATGTTTTGTTTTTATTTTTTTTTTGAAGGAACTGTCATATATTTGAAGTCAAATTTTCTGGATATTTGCCATCTAGCAAAGATGCCAACATCAATAAGGAATATGAAATATTACCGTCATTGAATTAATTAAAAAGTAATTTAAATGCAGATAGTGATCTTAAGAAGAAATCATAAGTTTGTTTAAACTTGAAATTAAATGATGTAGAAATTATAAAATGTTAATATTTTAGAAGATTGTTTACTATTAAAATTTATTTTCTATCCTGTTTATTCAAAAATATATTTATTATATTTTACTGTTAAATTTTAGTAGTAGATTTTTTAAATATAAAATTTAAACTGACTTACAAATAATCCACAATATGTATTATCATTTTGAATATCATATTAAGTATAAATAAACAAATGTGTGTTTCTTACAGTTTATAATAATTGGTTCTTGAAGATGATGATTGTTTTTTCTTATCAAAAGTTGATGACTTTTACAATCTTGTAAATAATTTTTATTATAATAAAAGATGAAACTCTCTTAAATTATTTTTATTCTTCTCAGCATTTTTAGTTTAAATGTTTAAATACGTTATAATTTTTTTTTTGAAATGCAAAATGCCATTATAAATGAATTAATCGTTATGAATAAATAACATTACATTATCGTTTTTTATAATTTTGTAAACAAATAATAAATTAATTCATCACAAATGAGTAATAATACTATGCTTTGTAGAATGTTTAATGTTAAACACAATAATTTAAATTCTTCAATAGAATTAAATGATTTTATATAGTGAATGCTTTAGAATATTTGCTACATAAATAATGTAAGTGTGACTTGTAATGTAAGTGTGTTTGTTTGATTATTCAATCAGAAAAGGTAATTTGTAGACATTCTGTAATTTAAATCACAGAATATGTAATTTAACATCAAATTATATTTTTAGATATTATATAAACATCAACTCCCAGCCCGAGTAGATAATAACAACACCAAACGATCGCCTAATTTATCGGGCTATAATATGGCTATTTTAAATGATTGGAACTAACTAATTACTTAGTTCCAATCATTTAAAATAGCCATATTATAGCCCGATAAATTAGGCGATCGTTTGGTGTTGTTTTTAGATATTATATTTGTCACTTTTATTTTCATTTTTTTTTTTTATGTTACAAACTTTCATTTAAAATAAATGGACAATTTTTATCATTTACTATAATTATTTAAGATTTATAGAAATTATATATTTATAATAGTTTTATTTAAAAAAAGATTTATTTTAAATTTCAGAATTATGTTCCATCTAATCAAGATATCCTTCATGCAAGAAAAGCAACTAAAGGTATCACTGAATTTCTCGTATCAATACACAGTGTCCCTTTTTTATTTGTTGATGTTGGAGGACAGAGATCGCAACGTCAAAAATGGTTCCAGTGTTTTGAAAATGTTACTTCGATACTATTTTTTGTGTCTTCCAGTGAATTTGATCAAGTTCTTGTTGAGGACAGGTGTACGAATCGTTTTTTGGAATCGTTGAATATTTTTGATACAATTGCCAATAATCGTTGCTTCTCAGAAATATCAATTATTCTTTTTCTCAATAAAACTGATCTCTTGAGGGACAAGCTCAAAAGAAAGGATACAAATATTTTAAGATACTTTCCAACATTCCAAGGTGATCCACATTGCTTAGAAGATGTTCAGAATTTTATGATAGACATGTTTGATTCAGTTCAGAGAAACAATAGAAAACAGTTCTTTTATCACTATACTACAGCCATCGACACAGAAAACATCAAAACTGTGTTTAATGACGTTCGAGAGACTATATTGCAAAAGAATATGGCTCAACTCATGCTGCAATAAACAATAAGAATTCTCATCATCAATTATATTTTGAAAACATACAACTGAAACTATGGTTGTATACAAACAAATATTTTATATTTTATTTTATTTAGTAATAGTGAATATGACCATTAGAAGAGTTTAATGGCTCAATTATTTTTTGTATTTGATTAATTGATTTTAAGGTTATGTAAAAAAAAATTAGTTAAAGATGTATTTTTTGTTCTACATCTCATACCAAATAGAACTTTAAATATTCTATTAGTACCAAATAACTTCAATGTATGACTTAAAAATGTAAGTCCTACATTGAATAATATTGATTAGAGAAATTTCAATTTGTCACTAAACTTTTTAATATTTTAAATATTAAATTTACATAAGTCATATAAAGTTAGTATTATTTTGTAATCATAAGAGTGATAAAATGAAATTCAAAGTAGATTTTATGAATTTTCTTACTTGTACATATCGGAAGATTATATATTGATTTATGTTCAGTAACAATTCCAAAATTTGTAATGGAAATTATCTGATGACCAAGTCAAATGCTCCAGAAAACTTAAGAAATGGATAATAGAAGAATTTAAATATTAATTTGTCAACCCTGTTACCTTTAAGATTAGTTTTAACATTTCTAGGTCTATCATTTTATAAACACCATAATATGATTATAAAATTTGGTTTATAATATCTAAAATTTATGAATCTTACTTAATATGTGAATATAAATTGAAATTTTTCATTCATGGAGCATTGTCTGAATAATTTGTTTAAAAAGAAAAATTTTAATACTTTTTAATTAGAATTTGTGGTGATTTCATGGCCATTTTCATAATCAAGGATCAGAGGGGAGAGTTATAAGTTAACCAATTACCAATCACTTTACTTTTTGAACATGAATGCTTATTGGTTAAGCAGTTTTCATTGTGTGATGTTCATCTCTACATTGTTGATTATATAGTTTCAATGTGCATTTACAAATCATAATTATTCCAAATATACAGATAAATTCATTGTTTTTTAAATTTGAAACCATAAATTAAACAGGAATACAGTTTTGTTTTAACATGCCGCATTATCCATTTCTTAAGTTTCAAATAGTTAATTGCTTAACTAATTCTTTCAAAAGTGTTATTGTAAATATACAAGAATAAAATTTTAATAGTATTATAGTTTTACAATTAACATTGCACAATAATTGTTAAATTTCATCAAAAAGAATGAGGGGAAAAATGTCAGTCAAAATTAATATTTTGCTATTAAAAAATTAAATAATATATAAAACAATTTCCATTTTATATCTGTGATTATATCTGCAATATTCTCCATTTTTTTAAAAAAATATTTTATTTAAATAATGTGTTTTTTGAATGTTTACTTGCCAAGTTTTTCTAAGAAATGCAAAATGTATTTAGCAATTGATTTAATATTATTGACAAAGAGATTTGCAGTTATTCTGTTCTGAATTTGTCCCTTAGGCAACAATCAAAGATTGTGTCTTGATGATTTGTGTTTATATTTTAAGGTTTTTTTCCCCTTATATAAAAGTATTATTGAGAAAGTTGTTGATTTGTTAATGCAATTCATATCATGAAATCCAAAGAAATGTATCATCAAAAAATTTAGTGTAAGAACTACTATTGTTTAAATCCTTCCAAACAGTATTTTCGCATTTAATATTGTATATTTTGTAAATGAAAGATATATAAATTTTGTTAAAAAACAAAAAAATTAATGTACAGTAAATAAGTCATTAAACAAATTTACATTTATATATACTATATATATATATATATAATGTATATATGTAAGAATATAATTATTTCTATTTACTCTGTTGAATATTTGTTTTAGTAATAGTAAATTTATAATGAAAAAAATTTTTTTTGAGTTAAATGATAAGGAAAATAAATTTTAAATAGGATTTTATATATTTCTGAGAAGTGTATTTAACTGTTGATTTGAATTTTTCAGTTATTCTTGTTAAATTTTTACTTTATACAAGAAATTTTAAGAGTATAAAACTCAGATTATTCATAAAATTTAGATAGATGAATATATAAATTGGCGATTAAAAGCAGAAAAAAAGAATAGAATATATTTTCTTCGTGGAGTTATTTAATTTTATCATAGATGTAAGAAATTCTCTGAAATCGCAATTCTAAAATGGAAATTTTATACAAAAAACTTGTTTTCTAGATGATGCATCTGATTGATGATATATTCCTTTATGGGAATAAATAATTTGCATTAAAAAATAATCGATTTCAATCGATGCGCGTAACAGATCGAAGATAATATCAGATTTAATTAGCTGTTTTCTATAAAACTCAATAATCGATAAAGTATCGACAAGTATATATAATACTTCCGAATCCCGTTTTAAATAATGAAACAAACTAAATTCCATTACATTTAAAGAAAAAGTTTGCTGAAAGCCTCCAGAATACAATAAACGTTACGAATTTATAAATAAAACAGCAAAAAATTTGCGATTTATGAATATTCGCCGAGTGTAATTTAGTTATAGTAGTAGTATAATAGTAAGTTGTGTGTATGTAAACATCGTAATAATTACGTAAGTAGAAATAATTAAAATACTAATCATTTTGAAATTATAAATATTAACTTTTGCTATTTAAAAAAGATGATAATTTCATTTTTAAAAAAAAATGAAAAAATAGCAAAAACATATTAACTGATGACAGCGCGCCAAGTGTCAATTATTATTGTAAGACTCCCGTCCCGAAGACAGCGCCTCTAGTGTCCGTTTACCTATGAAGACGAGAACGAAGGTTTTTAGCTGTGAACATGCTTCAATTACTATTTTAATTGTCAAGAATGAATTCTCTATAATTAAAAAAATGACTGTGCATTCGAGCCATCAAATGTGTATTTATTGATCTGTGCACTCGAAGATATCATCGCAGTGAGTGCGACTTCGATAGTCATCTTGTAGGTTGCGTGTGTTTTTTTTCTTAAATTTGTTTTTAAAGAAAAGTTTTGTTTGTCTTTAACTAAATTGCATTTTATAGATTTAAACTTCGGTGTCAGTAACTTTTTATATAAGATTTAAAACGTAATAATCGTTAAATAAAAATCAACAAACCAATCTACCATCTTAAGTCTTCTAATAATAAGATGAAAGATGAAAAAGTCGTCTTGATCCTTTCATCTTATGAAACTCTTTTAATTTAACGTCTTCTCCATCGTTATAAACGACAAACTTTCGAGTATTTAACGTAAAAAAAATACATTTATTCGACAAAATTTACACCTGTAATTAATTTGTTTTCAACCAAATGCCCATTTTTATTCATTTAAATGCTTTACAAACAGTTAACATTAATTATATAATACATATGAATGAGTCTTAAAAGCATTTATAATCAAATAAGAACTATTATATTAATCCTAAACAAGTTTATTTTTATTTTATTTTTTTAAATAAAAAAATTAAGGTAATTTTTTTGACAATTTGATTTGGAGAAAGTGTCATTACCGGTTTTTCTTTAATATTTTTATGATCTGTATTGTCTGTTTATGTTTATATTAAAATAATTATGTTGTTTCTGCATGGTAGATTTAATTTCATTAATCAGATTTATAAATGACTTGTAAATAAAAAGTAAAAATTTCCAGTTAATTATGATAAATTGATCAAAGTCTGTTATAAAATATCTGTCTGATGACACACACAACACTTTTTTGGCTGAATTAATGATTTTCTCAAATAATAATAATTTGACATTGTAAAAATGTAATATAAGATGGAAGGATCCAATTATCAACTTTGACTACTAAATTTAAAATTTGGAATGATAAATTTATATTTTTTTTAACATTTTGAAGTTAAATACAAATGTAGATTTTGAAACTAAAAAAATAAATTGACTTATACTTTTAATTAAATAATAATTTTATATATAGGTATATTAAGTTAACACTTAAAAATTTAATATAATTTTTTAAAAGAAATATTTACATATTAAAAAATACATTTTTAAGTTAATCGTTTTTTTTCTATACATTAATTATGAATATTTGAATTTTAATGTAATTATTGTTATTAAATAGTTTGTTTACATATAGTAAACAGATTATAGTATTGTTTCCAGTTTCATAAATTATGATTTAATGAAACTATAATTCAATATAAATTTAAAATTAATGTCATTTATCAAATATTATAGCAGTTCCAATGGTTTATATTTAATTTTTTATGTCTAAAGTTAGGATAGAGTCAATATAGATAAACAAATATCTTTTTACACATCAAATGATCTAAAATTGAATTACACAGTTTAACATAATTTTTTTTTTTTGTTGAATCCAAATACATTCTTAGTTTCTTCTTAAGGTAATTTATGATGGAAGATCTGACACTATTGGCATTTATTAAAGTATAATTTCTATTTAAAATATTTTAATGCTTATTATCATCATCATCATCATTTAATTGTAATGTAATAATTTGTTATAAAAATAATAATTTATTAAATTATTATATATATATTACTTATATGCAATGCTCTTTTTAAAAAAAAATTACTGCTGGTACTATATGAGACAACTGAAAAAAAATATTTATAGTTTGATTTGTGTTGTTTTCAAATGTTTAAAATAGCATTTGTTTGTATTTAAACATTGGATATATTAATAGTATTTTTGAAACATACACAATTTATATCTACTTACATAAATTTCTTAAGTTTCTATAAACTCAGCTCTGTTTTTACATTGTAAATATGTACCTAAAAAACCATGTATAAAAGATGCTGTCCATATGGGAAAATGGAAGAATGGTTACAGATTTTTAAAACCAATTAATATAATAGGATATTCTTAATTAAACAAAATATCTCAATTTTAGTTGAGTAATTTACAATTGTCCCTTTTCTAATTATCAGAAATATTTAATAAATTTATACTATTTGCACACATTTTTTTGGCATTTTTAATTAAACACCAAATGACATAAAAAAAACTATTCTGTATTGAAAGAAATCTGATAAAAATCATAAAAGCAAATTGTCAAACTTTGAATTAAATTTTTTCTGTTTCTGTTTCAGTTGTGAGATAAAGTCAAAATTAAAGACTAATTCTCACTATATACATTTAAATCAGTTGCAAAAACATAGCCAAATCTTAAAATTTACTTTATTATATATTGCAGATTAAATGCAAATTTTAAGAATTTATATAAAAGAACAGTTTTCTGGGAAAGGAAGTATGAACATTTTTTTCTTAGAATTAAAATGGATGGCCAAGATGGTCAAATTGTCAGCTTACCACTCTTGGAGAGACTGGATCCAATCCATGTGATAATTCTCCAAGAATTTTTTTCTAGGCAATCTGCCCTGGATATGTTGGGCCTCATTTTTCATCATCCAATTATCCTCATTATGGGTCTGGTCAAACCCACAATTGGTGTGGAGAGGCCCTCTTAGTGTTCACAGGATGATTAGAACCAAAAATGAAACCAAGTGAAGATTTTCAAAAAGGAAAATGTGTTTGATCAAAACAAATTTTGTAAAAAGAGAATTGAGTTATTTTCCAGACCATGTTAAATCAAAATTGTGTTTAAAAGTCTATATACTAACAGAATTGGATGTATTTAGCTCATTTAAATTTGAAGAACATTAGTGTTATAGGGATTTTATTATTCATCTTTTATGATGAATTAATAAATGAAAGGCATTTGCATATAATTTGTTTAAGATAAATTAATGATTTTGAATTTTTTGAGCATAAATTATTCTGTACACTAAGTACTGTTTCCTAAGTATACAGTGATATTATTTTTATAAAATATATTGTTTCTTTGCTTAACTAGAAAGAGAGAGTTTTGAAGTTTATCAACTGCATGTAGAAGCAAAGAAAATTGTAGAACTACTATACAAAATGTAGGAGTCAACATTTATTAACAGATAATGTTTTTTCAGGATTTAGATCATCTGTATGATAGGAAGTCCCCAAAAAAATTTTCTGTTAATAAATGTTGGCTTGTTCCCTTTGTATAGCATTTTTACAGTTTTATTTATCTTCCTATTAATAATGTATCAGAATTTACTCTGTATAAAATGTTTTTTATACAGAGTAAATTCTAATACAGAGAAAAATAATATGAGTGAAATAATAATAATAAATCTAAATAGTAGGCCTATAATGTCTGCTATTAAATTTGGTGTTATATTTGTTATAAAAAAATAATAATTATAACAATGTTGCCTGTTTTACATTGGTTATACTTTAAACAATCAAATCCATCCAACAAAGTGATAAGTACAGATACGTAGTACTAACCTTGAATAGCTTTGCAGTTACTACTTAAAAATGTAACACTACATTGTAACAGTGTTATGTTTTTAAGTCATAACTGCAAAGCTTTACAAGGTTAGTACAAAATATTTGTAGTTATACTTTTGTGGATATTTTATACATTTGCTATTGTATATGCTTTAAGCATAAATAATACAAATATTGTGAGTAAAAGCATAAATATTTTTACTCACAGTTAGGAAGTGCTTATGTACAACTGATTTGGTTGCCTTTGCTTGTTATTGTGACATTGATTTTTCTTTCAATAGAATTCATTTACTATATTGTGCAATGGTTCTGATACACAACTTAAATATTTGGAGTCTGTAAATTTATAAAGCTACTAGCTGTACCCGGCCACGCATTGCTGTGGCTCAAAATGTATCTATTATAAATGTATAACACTCCCCATGGGAGGGAATTTTGAAAAATCCCTTCTTAGTGTACATTCTCTTGATACACCCTATTAAAATGCAATCAAAAATGCAAAAGACCGCATCTAAAATAGTATAATAGAAGCCAAGTTCTTCATGGTAAGCCTTAATTTTGTTCCTCTCTCCCAGGGGGGATTTTGACAACTATATAATATAAAAGTTTGGACATGTGCACTGCGTATCTCACCGACCATGTGACTGTGCTGCGTGGTTACCTATCTCATATATGTACACTTCTTGCCCCTCGCTACCCGCTGACACCAAAAATATAACGCTTACCTAGATGATATCTTTTAATTTATATGAATATTTAACAGAATAATATACAGCCTATGTCCACCCTGAAGGTCCATTCTAAATATTGGTGAAAGAATTTTTGAAATTGGATGAGTAGTTTCAGAGATTACCTCCTACATCCAAACTTACAAACTTTACGTCTATAATATTAGTATAGATCAAGAAAGGGACCACAATTAACTTTAAAGTTTTATAGAAAAAATAATAGTAAATTTTTTTCAAAAAATGCATACCATATACTGTACAAGGGTCATTCAATAAGTAATGCAACACATTTTTTTTTCTCAGCCAATTTTCATTAGAAAAATTCTATATTTTATGTGCAACATCCTTCAACTCATCAGTGTTATTTGTAGTAATTTCATTTCTCTCCATTGTATGGCAACACTATTATTAATTTTCAAGATGGGATCTGTGATTGAAATGCATTCCAAACAGAGCTGTGATTGAATTTCTTTTGGTGGAAAATGAGACAGTCACAAACATCCACCAACTCTTAATGTTTATGGAGACATTGCAGTGAATAAAAGTGCAACAAGTCATTGGGTGAAGTGACTGTCATTATCAGAAAGAAGTAAAGGCAATCTGTCTAATCTTCCATACTATGGCTGTCTCCAGCATGTTCACTATCACAAAGATTTGAATAAAATTCTCCAATGACAACACAAGGCCACACACAAGTGCACCCAAGAGATGATCACAGAACTGGAAGGACTCTCCTTCCTTGTCCAACTTGTAGCCTGGATCTCACACCTTCAAACTTTCATTTCTCTGGTCCTCTGAAAGATGTATCTGCAGGCTCTTACATCTAGGTGGTGTAAGGTTATAGGCTTGAATGAAGATTAAGTAGAAAAATAGGTTTTTGTACCAAGGAATTGGGAGACAAAGTGATTGTATTTAAAA